ACGAGGTTCTCGCTCTTCTTCCTTCTTCGCTGCCACCATATTAATGCTTTAATGTCAACTACTTATAGAGACAAGTGTGCTGTTCAAAACTTAAATCTTTTATTTGGTCAGGGAAGTAAATAAACGATGAATATGCATGGTATAAATCACAGGCTGCCAGTCACTTGTACTGTATTTGAATCACATCTAATGTAACTTTAATATCTTTTAACCCTGTGTTTCAGTTATCATTCTTACAGATCTCTAACTCACTTTCCAGACACTTTCAAGTTAAACACAGTTTCTCTCACACAGAATCTCCCTCGGAGTCCATACACCAGTCTTTATATCCAGCCCCCTCCGCCCTTGGCTCCACCTTCCGCCCACTCATTGGCTCCTTCTTCCCTATTCTGCGGTAACGGACAGGTGAGGGCAGGGATGTTAGCTACACACCTCCCCTCTTAAAAAGTTGAACAACAAGGAGCTTTAAGGTAGTACACCAACAACTTTCCAGGATTATAATCAAACCTTACCACCTTGGAACATATGTAATAATTAAACAACTTATTTGCTTGCTGTGCAATAAACCTTATAATTCAGTTACTAGTTCAATTACAATACTCTCCCTTTCAATCATATACACAGGTGCTTTCTCAACCACATTCCGTAACACTTTTAATACTTAACATACATTTTATTTCCATAGAACACACAACATATAACATTTACCGAGGTGCAAATAAACATTTTATCGCTTTTGCCATTTTACCAAGGGCCATTCCCTTCGTCGTCAGTCTTCGGCATTCTGCTACCACATTTTGAGATTCTTTTGTTCCAATCTTTTTTTTTTTTTAGTCCAAGCTTTGTGGCATTAGAATTCTCTCTCTCCACAACACATTTTTGTCCTTTTCGAAAACCCAGCATCGTAGTCATGGTGGAGTGGTAGTGCTTATAAAGGAAATGTCCTACCCTCCGGTGCAGCTTGCACTTTTCTGAAATCCACCTTCCTTCACACCGTTACGATACACATGAACCACTGGCGACTGGGGCCTCTCGCCAACCTGCAGCTTCCGTCTCCGGAATGTCTTTCGATGAAGGATCTTGCAGTCATCCGCCTGGCTCGGTGCGGCTCCTGTTTCGAATCCGGACCCCTCCGCGATGGTGATGCCTCTCTGGCACTCGGGACCTCTCCGTATGCAGTCTGCCACCGGTGCGGTCTTCCAACTGTCTTTCTGCCATGTTATTTTAGCTGCTCTACAGAGTTTCACCTCTCCTTCTGGAGCAGATATCGTGATGCCCTTGGTTAAATCCTTTAGGTAGTGCCTAGCAAGATCAAGCTTAACTCTCAATCCTTTTGCATTTTGCACCACTGGCAGGGTTAGGCTACATTTCAACCTACAGTGGTGCCCCGCTAGACGATGACCTCACAAAATGACGAATCCGCATGATGATGAGTTTTTGGTATCGCCATTGCGCTTCACAAAACAGTGTTTCCTATGGGTGGTTTTAGCTGGATGATGTTTCGGTTTGTGCTTCGCAAGACTTTTTGGGGGGGACCGATGCTTCGCAAGATTATGATTTTAACAGCTGATTGGCAGCTTCACAAAACAGGTGTTTTCGGGACCAACGCTTCGCAGGACAGTGATTTTAACAGCTGATCGGCGCTTTGCAAATTGGCTTCCCTATGGGCGATTTTTGCAAAACGACGACAATTTTTCCCCATTGGAACGCATTAAATGGATTTCAATGCATTCCAATGGGGAATCGCATTTCGCAAGACAATGTTTTCACAAGACAGCAATTTCAGTGGAACGGATTAACATCGTCTTGCAAGGAATCAATGTATTTAGCTTTCGATAGGTCACCCCTCTGCCTTCCCAATATGGCCACGCATGTTTTCTCTTGGGCTTTTCCCTTCTTGTATATTAACCAAACTTCGCATTTTGGCCCCAAAGTTTAACTAGATAGGTTCAGACTCTATAAGGTGTAACCTCCTGTGGGTGTGCATCCCCAGTGTCAACCCTGTGCACTACACCCTTGGCTACTCCAGGCTTGTTGGAGAAAACCTGCTTGTACTCCATAAACACGGCTCTAGCTTCTTTTTGTTGTGCTGGGGAAAGTGAGTGACTGATTTGGACCTCCTTTGAGGTGTATATGGGTCCGCTCCTCCCTTCCCCACAAGGTAACTTGAGATTTTCACTGTCTGCTTCTTTCAATGTCAGCAAGACGTTTTCCTTTCTATAGTATGGCTTGATCACATTCCCATAGACTACTCTCCTGCCTGATTCTCCCTCCAACAGTTTAATGCAATCTACCTCATTCACTTGGGAGGTTACTTGCATCCTCTTGGATAGGAAAGAGATTTCTAAAAACGTTACCACCTTATCAGTAAACCCCCTGCGACACATATACATCAGCAGAGCTTCTGCAATGGTCTGTGCCTCAATTTTTCTTAGGGGAGCTACTTTGGGATAACGTGTTGCACAGTCAACAATATATAGAATGAATCTGTTTCCCTTCAGAGTAACTCTGAGGGACGTGGTGGCGCTGTGGGCTAAACCGCAGAAGCCTGTGCTGCAGGGTCAGAAGACCAAGCAGTCGTAAGATCGAATCCACGCGACGGAGTGAGCGCCCGTTGCTTATCCCAGCTCCCGCCAACCTAGCGGTTCGAAAGCATGCAAATGCGAGTAGATAAATAGGTACCATCTCGGTGGGAAGGTAAACAGCGTTCCGTGTCTAAATCACACTAGCCATGTGACCACGGAAAGATTGTCTTCGGACAAACGCTGGCTCTATGGCTTGAAGAGCGGGATGAGCGCCGCCCCCTAGAGTCGGACACGACTGGACAAAAATTGTCAAGGGGAACCTTTACCTTTACTTTTTTTCAGAGTAACTCTGGGCAACAGTCCAACTATGTCTAACCCATTGCGCCGGACTGGGTTTGAAATGACAGGTAAAGGCCACAGCTTGGAGTCAGTTTTGTCACTGCCATCCCCTTGCCTCTGACCTCCTTCACACCTCTGGCCAAATTCTTTTGTTTGCTCCTCCATTTCAAGCCAGTAAAAGTTTTGAGCTAATCTTTGTGCAGTATTTGTAATACCAAAAAGAGCTGCAAAGGTACCAGCGTGCCCCTGCTTCTCTATCCCCACTTGATCTTTGAGAGGAACAATCAGTTGCTTTGAGAAGAAAAATCAGTCGCTTGTGAATCCCCTGGGATTCACAAAGGCCTTTCTGTACAAAAGGACTCTCAGGGTTAACTGACCTTTGCCAACTTTCTCAAAACATTGATCCAGCATGGGATCTGTTCTTTGTTCCCTTTTAAATGTGTTTTCTAGGGGAACCTTAATAGGTATTAATTCAGTTGCTGGATCCTCTCCTCTCACCAGCTCTGTTTGAATTTTGCCCTTATCCTCTGCTTTGCCTTCTTTCTGCTGGAAGCGAGTCTGCACTAAAACACTTTTGACATGCTCAGTGAGATTGATCCCAATTAAACAAGGTGCAGGCAATCAATCAGCTATGCCTAGTTCTCCATAATAGTTTCCGCCCTTGATATCTTATAGGTCCCTCAGCCACTGGCATGGTAATTAGTTCTGTAGCTATCCCTTTAACTGTCAGGCTTTCACCTTTCAATATGTACTCTGGAGGGACTATTTCCAGACACTTTCAAGTTACACACAGTCTCTCACACACAGAATCTCCCACAGACTCCATAGACCACTCTTTATATCTGTCTCCCTCCCCCCTTGGCTCCACCTTCCGTCCACTTATTGGCTCCTTCTTCCCTGTTCTGCGGTAACGGACAGGTGAGGGCAAGGCTGTTCACTACAACCACTAACTGCTCTTTACCGGTTCTCGAGTCCAATAATTTAGCTGCATTGCATTCATCCACTTTTACTCTTCCTTTCTAAAACTGTCCTCCCCCCTTGTTATTCATTTTTCCTAAACAATCCTTTAATTCAAATATTTGTTTCCTCTTTAATCAACTTTGAGAAATTCATTTCTAATTTTTTGTAAACTGAAGTACAATCATTGGGGAGAATTTGAGAAGGAAAAGAAGTTAATACAGTGGTGCCTCGCATAGCGATTGCTTCGTATAATGATGAAATTGCTTTGCGATGAAGATTTTGCTATCGCTTTTGCGATCGTTTAGCGATGTTTCCTGTGGGGGAATTTCGCTTTGCGATGATCGGTTCCCTTGGGAACCGATCATGGCAAAGCAAGGCTTCTGCAACTGCTGACCTGCAGAAGGAGGGGCGAAGGGCCTGGCCCCAATCCCCATGCACAGCCAGAGAGCTGCAAAGGAGGAGGCACCCGCGGGGGACCGGGATCAGGGCAGCAGTGCTGGATGGGGGGCGGCACACCAGAGACCTTCTCTGTGCCCCGCCAAGGAGACTGGGCATCGTGCAGGGCTGGCTGGCCGGCTGGCGGTGGGTGGTGCGCCACTTCCCGCCCCGGGTGGCTGCCTGCCTCTGAGCCCTCTTCCTGCCACTCGCTATCCAAGGCAGACAAACCCCAGAGGCCTTCCTTGCGGTGCCCGGGGAGCACGGCCGCGTCCACGTTGACCTGCCGGCCACTGCAGGCAGGAACGGGCGGAGGCAGAGGCCAGAGCCTCCTGCCTTGGGCAGCCGATGCCCTTTCTGCCTTCTGCTCTGTGACTCAGGAGGAGCCCGAACACATCATTCATTATAGACAAACCCCATGTAAACTGAAGTACAATCATTGGGGAGAGTTTGAGAAGGAAAAGAAGTTAATATACTTTGATTTTGATGTACTTCTTTGGGTGTGGAAGTGATCCTCCTTTCATGACTCCACCCTTCAAAAAGTCCCTCAGTGAAGAGCCCTTCCATCCTCAAGGCCACAGAAACAACCTCCGGTCCGGCTTCATCCCCTCCCAGGTTCTCCTCCCTTGCCTTTTTGGCTGTCTTTCCTTCCTCCTCCATGACTCAGGCGGAGCGCAAACACATGATTCCTTATTCCTGCAGATTTTAGAAGTGGTTGTTTCTCTTTTTCTAATCTGTCAGATGATGAATAGGAGAAGAAGAATTGCCCAGCAACATCTCAGGCCACCTGGGCAGGAACTCATCATCAAGCAAGAAAACAGAGAATTGAAAAACGGAAAGGGCAGGAATGGATTTCACATGAAAGGACTGACGCACAGGACAAACCACGTCAATTCATGTCACCCCAGTAGACATCAAACAACACATGCAGGGGAGAAACTGTGTCCATGTATGAAATGTGGAAAGAGCTTCAATCAGAACAAGAGCCTCCTTATACACCGTAGAACTCACACTGGGGAGAAACCACATAAATGCATTGAATGTGGCAAGAGCTTTAGTATTAGTGGTGCCCTTAGGTTACATCAGAAGACACACACTAGGGAGAAATCGCATGAATGCATAGAATGTGGAAAGAGCTTCAGTAGGAGTAGTGCCCTTGGGATACATCAAAGGACCCACACTGGAGAGAAACCACATAAATGCTGGGAATGTGGAAAGAGCTTTAATCAGAGTAGTAACCTTAGTTCACATCAAAAGACCCACACTGGGGAGAAACCACATAAATGCTGGGAATGTGGAAAGAGCTTTAGTACCAGTAGTGCCCTTAGGTTACATAAAAGGACCCACACTGGGGAGAAACCACATAAATGCATGGAATGTGGAAAGAGCTTTAGCAGGAGTGGTGCTCTTAAGTCACATCAAAGGACCCACACTGGTGAGAAACCACATGAATGCAGAGAATGTGGAAAGAGCTTTAGTTGGAGTAGGGCCCTTAGGTTACATCACAGGACCCACACTGGGGAGAAACCATATAAATGCATGGAATGTGGAAAGAGCTTCAGTCAGAATGGACACTTTAGGTTACATCAAAGAACCCACACTGGCGAGAAACCATATAAATGCATGGAATGTGGAAAGAGCTTCAGTCAGAATGGACACTTTAGGTTACATCAAAGAACCCACACTGGCGAGAAACCATATAAATGCATGGAATGTGGAAAGAGCTTCAGTCAGAATGGACACTTTAGGTTACATCAAAGAACCCACACTGGCGAGAAACCATATAAATGCATGGAATGTGGAAAGAGCTTCAGTCAGAATGGACACTTTAGGTTACATCAAAGAACCCACACTGGCGAGAAACCATATAAATGCATGGAATGTGGAAAGAGCTTCAGTCAGAATGGACACTTTAGGTTACATCAAAGAACCCACACTGGCGAGAAACCATATAAATGCATGGAATGTGGAAAGAGCTTCAGTCAGAATGGACACTTTAGGTTACATCAAAGAACCCACACTGGCGAGAAACCATATAAATGCATGGAATGTGGAAAGAGCTTCAGTCAGAATGGACACTTTAGGTTACATCAAAGAACCCACACTGGCGAGAAACCATATAAATGCATGGAATGTGGAAAGAGCTTCAGTCAGAATGGACACTTTAGGTTACATCAAAGAACCCACACTGGCGAGAAACCATATAAATGCATGGAATGTGGAAAGAGCTTCAGTCAGAATGGACACTTTAGGTTACATCAAAGAACCCACACTGGCGAGAAACCATATAAATGCATGGAATGTGGAAAGAGCTTCAGTCAGAATGGACACTTTAGGTTACATCAAAGAACCCACACTGGCGAGAAACCATATAAATGCATGGAATGTGGAAAGAGCTTCAGTCAGAATGGACACTTTAGGTTACATCAAAGAACCCACACTGGCGAGAAACCATATAAATGCATGGAATGTGGAAAGAGCTTCAGTCAGAATGGACACTTTAGGTTACATCAAAGAACCCACACTGGCGAGAAACCATATAAATGCATGGAATGTGGAAAGAGCTTCAGTCAGAATGGACACTTTAGGTTACATCAAAGAACCCACACTGGCGAGAAACCATATAAATGCATGGAATGTGGAAAGAGCTTTAGTTGCAGGGGTGCCCTTAGGTCACATGAAAGGAGCCACACTGGGGAGAAAACACATAAATGTGTGGAATGTGGAAAGAGCTTTAATCAGAGTTTTAGCCTGAGGGCACATGAAAGGACCCACACTGGGGAGAAACCACATAAATGCATGGAATGTGGAAAGAGCTTTAGTACAAGTAGTAACCTAAGGTCACATCAAAGAATTCACACTGGAGAGAAACCACATAAATGCTTGGAATGTGGAAAGAGCTTTATTCAGAATGGTCACCTTAGGTCACATCAAAGGATCCACACTGGAGAGAAATCACATGCTGTATTTTTCCATGTATAAGACTATGCTTTTGTCTAAAATCTTTAGACTTAAAATTGAGGGTCGTTTTATACACAGAGGTAAACTGGGGAGAGAAAAAACAAGTGGAGCGGAAAGCAGTGTACAAATTGATCCTGCAGGGCTTTGCATAGAATGTGGAAAGAGGTTTAGTACAACTGGTATCCTTAGGTTTCATCAAAGTACCCACACTGGGGAGTGTGGCGGAATGCCCACATCACTCCTGTCCGTTATATGGAGCTCAAGTGCAGGAGCCTATGATATTACAGAAGCAAAGTTAGAGTGACAGACAGAGAGAAAGGGAGAGAAATAGGGAATGGAAGTGAGAGATTTAGGACATTGAATTGAGAGATAAGACAGAGAGTGGAAGGTTGGAGTCTTATAGAGAATAGGAAATAGTTAAAAATAATAGAGAATAGTCAAAGAATATTGTTAAAGTGATTATTGTAAATAAAAGCACATACAAGCAAACATTTAATCAAATCCAATTTAATGAATAATCCTCAACGACTGTGATTTACATCTGTGATTTACATACGAACGAAAAGATCAATAAACCTGTTGTATTGGCAAGACGTGTCTGAGATATATTTGGTATAGTGTGGACTAGATCCACTGGTGGCAGCCTAAAAAGAGGAAACGCATCCAGAGGGTGGACCTGTGTTTGGGGAGGACAAACAAGTGACACTGGGGGGGGGGTTTGACATAGTGGTGGCCAGCAGCTGGATGTGATTAAAAGTCCAGTAAGCCAAAAGTTAAAAGGGAATTTTCTGAGCCTAAGGGACCTAGTAGTCTGGGACTGTAGTGAAGGGGTGGGAAACCCTTGAGAGCACATCTTGAAAATCTTAGAAGAAACTCCTGATTGCAGACTAAGGACAGGAAAAGGCTTTGAGGAAAATTCAGTAGTTTAAGGTTACCTCACGCTTTAAGTAAAAGACCAGTAGGCTAGCTTGAGATCCCAAGCTCTAAGAAGGGAGCACTGAGGATAAGTAGAAGCCATGGTCATAAATATAGCTAAGGTGACTGGAACCAATGGAGGCTTGAATAAAGTAAATAGTTCTGAAGTAATTTAATTTTTGGAGGCAAAAAGAGAAACAGTGTTTCAGACCAAGGGACTGGCTGGGTGCCAGAAGAAATATAGTAACAATCCATGGCTGCCAGTGGAGAGCTACAAAATAATTCTCTCTCTAACTAAGAAAAAGCCTTTTCAACTGAGGCTTGACTATTTATATCAATAGAATAAACCAGCTTATCTGAATTATTTACAAATAAACATGCCTTCTAAAAGAGGGAAGGTAGAAATGGAGGTATCAGATGTTCTAGCGTGACCTCATGAAGAGGGGAGCCCTCTTGAAATAACTGAGCCAGATGAGATTCAGGAGGATGATGCCTCAACGGGTGAAACTGGGTTAACCTCTCAAGAATTTGAAAGATGGAGGTTGCAACAAGAATTTAAATTAAAGGAGTTATTATTTATTTATTTACTTACTTACTTGCTTACTTACTTGCTTACTTACTTACTTACTTACTTACTTACTTACTTACTTACTTACTTACTTACTTACTTACTTACTTACTTACTTACTTACTTACTTACTTACTTACTTACTTACTTACTTACTTACTTACTTACTTACTTACTTACTTACTTACTTACTTACTTACTTACTTACTTACTTACTTACTTACTTACTTACTTACTTACTTACTTACTTACTTACTTACTTACTTACTTACTTACTTACTTACTTACTTACTTACTTACTTACTTACTTACTTATTCTATTTGTACCACGCCTATCTGGTCGAAACGACCACTCTAGGCAGCTTCCAGGCAGATAAAAATGCAGACATAAATACATATAACAAAAAAATGCAAAAATAAATAATTAAACAATAAACAATAAGGAAAAACA